CACATCCTGAGATCCATGCAGGATGCCTAGGTTCTGCTTTTAAAATTGGAGGCTGGCTGGCTTTGGAATTTTCCTGAATTCCATTACGTTGAAAGTACAGAAAATGGCGGTTCTCCAGATTAGCTCATGTGGAGGTGGAAGTAAACAAATGGTCTCCATGGCGACTGTGGGGCCTAATTTGGGATGTCCAGCTGCCCTTCTGAGATCTGGAGGCCAGCCCTGAGGAGGAAAGTGGCCACTCCCCATTCCTTGACCATGACTCGAATTTGCCGTGGTGGTAGGAGCTGCTGGCCACAGGGGGCCCCTTACTAATTCCAGAACTGGCTGTTTACGGGGCAACCAGGGTTCTAGGCTCTGAGCAAGCCTCAGACTGTGAGGTGAAAGGGCCCATGGAGCGTGCAGTCCTAACTGCTCAATCTCCCAAAACGTCAGGGGCTCCTCCTGAGGGCCAACTGCACACTCAGCTCAGCTTCCTGACAGCCAGGTGGGTACAGGACACAGGGAAGCGGTGAGGTGGCAGTGGAGGCCAGGAGCGAGCCTCGGCCCCAGCAGCCCTCACCAGGATGCAGGTGAGGTGGGGAGCTGTCCAGGTCCATTCTGCTGCTTCCACAAGGGAATGGCCTTGACCATGCCACCTGGCCCTGACCTCAGTCCCCTGTGCCTGTGTCAGCCTCCCAGCCCAGACTGTCTGGCAGGCACCTCGCCCACCAGGCTCCACCTGAGGCTCTGCCCTCTCCATCCACCCCCTTGGAGGCTCAGACTTCAGGAAGTAAGAGGTGAGGAGTAGGGTAAGACTCAGGCCCTGTTGAGCAGCAGGCCTGAGACCAAGGACCAACCCTGCTCCTTAGTAGCGGGGGTTCTGGGGCTCCTTATCTGGCCCCTCTGGCCCTCAGTTTCCCCACCTGTATAATGGTAGAACCAGAATAAAGATAGAACCTTCTTTCTAGGGTGGAGGTGAGGATCCAAGGAGACACACGAAGGTGCACTTAGCACAGGGCCTGGCTCTCAACACATGCTCATTAAATAGCTGGCACCACTGTCACTCTTGCCACCGCTTTACCATAGATGGCCTCTTATCCAGCCTCTCCGGTTGACCGATGTCCATCTCCATGCTCTCTGAACACCCTGACTGATGCCCAGGGCATTCTCAATGCTCTTGGGCATTCTGCAAAATACCCTCCAGTTGATTTTATATTTACAATAAATCAATTAACATTGTTCCCAAGTCTTTCTTATGCCAGTTGTGCTTGACATTACATATATGCACAATTTAATTAAATATATAAGCCAGCAGTTCTCAAACTGTAGTATCAAGACTCCTTTACACTCTGAAACAGTACTGAAGATCCTAAAAAGCTTTCGCTTATGTCATTTACATCCACCAACATTTACTGCATTTGACACTAAAGGTGAGAGATTTTAAAGCACACAAATGCACAAGCACACGTCCCATCGGCTGCCAGAGTGGGCTGTGGCTGCTGGAAACTGTCACTTTGTACATTTGTAAAGAAATGAGAGCGTAAAGAATGGCATCTCGGTACAATCGTGAAAATAGTTGTGGCTGGTGGATCTCCTGAAAGATCTCGAGGGTCCCCTCCCTTGGAGAACCACGGATGTAAACTAATGAAATATGAGTGCAAACCATGAGCTGCTCTTAGAAAACCGGGTTGAAAACGTTGGAAAGTTCCAGCACAGGTGAGGGAAATAATTTGGGGAGAATAACCACAGACAAGTAACAGGGAACTGCCCAGGTGGCTGTGCAGGTGGCTTCCATGCTCATGTCCTCTAGAAAATCAAAACCGGAAATGAGTGCTGACTCGTCCATATGTGGACCCAGCACCAGAGATGACCCAGAAGACCCGCCTACGAACTCGGCTCAGAGAAGAGGCTTTGGGCCTTTTATCAAAAGACAGACAAATCAATGAGCCGTAAGTGTTTTAAGATAAAAGGTTTAAGAAATGTGTCTGTGGTTAAGTAGGATTTCTCCATTTCTCCAACTTGTGCACTTAAGTCTACAGTTACGGACACTCTGAGAAGGTTGACCCACCCCAGCCCATGCTCTCGCACCATGGACACCAGCTCCCAGCCGAGCCCTTGCCTTTGGCCTCCCCCACTGCCTCACGCAGTCAGCACCTCAGCTCGTCATAAATACTTGCTGGAAGAATCAGCGAAGGAATCAACGAACGAGCAAAGGACCCACTCCCCGCCCACCAACGCCTGGCCCAGGGCTTCGTACAAATCAGAGGATCAGAAAATATTTGCTAAAACATTAAATTTTGACTCTGTACATTTTCTAGCTGGAGTGTCGCCCCCGGGGTGCTTCTGAGACCATCTCGTGAGACTGAGCACAGGGGCAGTCAGTCCACTTCTGACAGGCCTGCCTAAGAGCTGACCAAGCAGATATGCAAATGAGGGGACAGAGCAGAGCAGGGTTACAACCAGGGCGGGGGCTGCAGCAGCCGGACAGAGCAGGGGTGTGGAGATGAGTCCAGCTTGGGGCCATCACACCCGATCCATGAAAGTGAGGTTGTGAGGTTGGAGGTCAGCCGTCCAAGGCCATCCCTGGAGTCTGGGGCCACCAAGGTCACGGGCCCCAGAGGCACTCACAGGAGCCAGAAAGCATTCTAAGCATCTTTGTAGCTTTCACAGGGTGCTTCCTTAGAAGCATAGCTAACTCAAAAATAGCTGAACTTCGGAAACTGAAAACTGCCCCTGGGGTTGATGTGTGTCTCTTGGGAAATTGAGAAAGTAGCTTTAAAAAAAAAAACCCTCAAACTTATTTATAAGCACTCAAAATTCACTTCTATTCAGAGCTGTAGAAATAGTCCTTGGGGGAGGGGCATTGGGCACTTGGGAGAAACATACAAAAGAGTGACTTGCGATTTGAATTTGGGAGAAAAGTGGGTCTTTCACCCTGCCTCACTTCACCCTGTCCCACTCGCTCCAGAGACAGGGCCCTGCCTGGACAGAAAGATGCACCACCTCAGAAAGGACACTTCTGGAAGCTCGGCCCTCTGCTAGGCAGCCGCCTGCCCACTCAGACCTGCCTGGGCCCCACAGGGCACAGCCACAAGGGGTGTGCCAGTGGGTACCCACTAGACTCCTGACCGCCCAACCAGCTCCCTGGACCACCCTCCTATGGTGGACAGAATAACGGCCTCAGATGTCCATGCCCTAACCCCCCAAACCTGTAAGTACATTACCTTACATGGCAAAAGGACTTTGCAGCTGTGGGGAGATGATCCTGTGTGACCCCGTGGGTCCAGAGCAGTCACAAGGGTCTTTACAGGAAGCAGGAGGGTGAGGGTCAGAGAGAGATCAGAAGATGATACACTTGAAAATGAAGGGGGGGGGTCACAAGCCAAGGAACACGGCAGCCTCTAGGGCAGCGGTTCTCAACCTTTCACAGGGGTCGCCTAAGACCATCGGAAAACACATATTTTCGATGGTCTTAGGAACCGAGACACCGCTCCTCTATCCGTCTCCAGGCCCACATGCAGCTATGCCCACATACGAGTACCCGGCGACCCCTGGGAAAGGGTCTTTCGACCCCCAAAGGGGTCGCGACCCACAGGTTGAGAACTGCTGCTCTAGAGGCTGGAAGAGGCAAGGACACTTCTCACTGAGCCTCTAGAAGGAACCAGCCCTGCCCACACTGATTCAGGCCCTAAGACTAACTTTGGATTGCTGACCTCCAGAACTATACGATAAAACGCTTGTTTTAAGCCACTCACTCTGGGGTAACTTGTTACAGCAGCCACAGGACACTCAGGCAGCTTGCCAGGGTCGATGGCTGTCCCCCCCTCCCTTGCTGTAGCCTTCACCCCACGGAACCTGGTCTAGCTTGGCTGCTCGGCAAGGAGCCCTGTCACTCGCCACACGAGGTTCTGGGAAAGCGTTATCTTCCCACGAGTCACAACAGGCTCTGCCTCACCCACAGGCAAAGTGGCTGCCCACAGGGGTAGATTTCTGGAGCAACAGGAAACCCCCCACCCACACATGGTACCTCCATTCCTAGGGTACAAGGCCCGAGATGCTCCTGCCAGGCACATGGCCTTTGCATCTGCTCCCAAAGCGGGTCATTTGGGGAGAGGCCATTCCAAGGGAAATTAATATAGAAAGATGTGGAGATGTGGCTAATCCTCATCAGAATGTCCCGAGAGCTGGTTCTGGGGGGTGGGGGGGGAGGACACACACAGCAGGGGGGGAAAGGGGGTTGTGCAACCAGCCCTCAAGACTCGCCCATCTGTCCTGTCCAGTCTCCCCCCACCCCCTTGTCCTCGCAGCCACAGTCCTTTCTCTGCTGAGCAAAGTCGCTCCTGGCTTTGTCATCAAGAGATGGGGCCTTTCTCGTTTCCAGGTCTGGACTCACCAGCTCCCCGTCCCCCAACACACCACTGTGGGAGCAGTGCAGACGAGATGGGTGGGTGTTTCCAGAACTGGGGGCCAACCCATAATGCACACTGTCCGTGGGATGACCCAGCCCTGCAGAACCCCAAACTTCAGACAACCCCCACCTCCTTCCCTAGGCTTGCCCCTCCCCAAGTGCTGCCAGGGCACCCTAGAGATAATGACATGCATCCAGTGACACCAGGAGTCTCAAACTCACAGCCCCCAGGGGCCGGGCAGACCAGGGGGACTGAGGGAAGCAGCCACGTAGAGAGTAGCCTGTTGGGAGTGGCAGGGCCTGTGATCACCCAACCTTCAAATCCAAATGTCTAAAGACAGCATTAGGGCTGTCTGTGGTCAGAGCTGGACCTCGTCACCCAGACTCACTCCCCGGGCAGGCCCACACAGGGCGCCCCTGGTAACGTCGGAACCCTTGTCTCTGGGATCTTGTCTCTCTCACCGCTCACCACAGGTGGTAGGTCCCTGTCATACAGAGAGGTCACAACGCATGCAGGTAAGACACCGAGTTCCTTCCGCGATGCATTCACGCACAGCGGACACTGGAGAGAACCCGCCACAAGGGTTCATGACAGTGAGGAGAGCCTCAGTCATAGGGGTCCCCATTTAATGCTGGTAAATAATAATACAAGTATAGGATCATTGTGGTTCACTTAACATACCTGACAGGGCTAAGGGCTATAAGATAATACAGTCCCATACACAGCTTTGCAGAACATGAAGGAACTTCAATACCAGGTCGTTAAGAAATGTTCCATTTCGCTTTGGTTTGGGGTGACAGGCTCCAGGACCACCGCTCGAAACGGCATCTGTGCTGTCAACATGAACGGGCCTCGAACGAGGGAACGCAAAGGCCTAAGCCCTTCCAAACAAGATCCCTTGAGAGAAACTGCGTCTGGATGGCACTGATTGGCACAGAATGGATGGCCTGCATCTATAAAAAGATCTGTATAATAAACCAAATAATATTGGAAATAATACCACCGGGAATACTTCTGTAAGAAGCAGAATTATGCCACATGTTATTCACATGCGTAGGAGTGCGTAAGACAAGTCCCGTGGTGTCATTATGGTTGGGGTGGAATAGCAAAATCCGTACTGAAAATAACAAGGCAGAGACATTCATCCACGAAAGGGTAGTGTCCTGGGGCCTCGTTAGCCACAGGACTGAAGGGAACCCACTCGGAAAATGCACCCCCCCACACACACACACACCCCCTGTGCTACCAATAAATACACACACACACTGAAGTGCTGTCCCCTAACACGCCCTTGTGCCCAGGCCACACTGCCCTGCTGGCTGCTGCTCTGGGTGCCAGCTAGAGAGAAAAAGGAGGGGACTGTCCCTGAAAGTGGGCGTTTAGGACACACAGCTCCTTCAGCAGCACAAAGAGCCCGGCCGTGCCGGTGCCGAGAGGCCTCCGCACGTCTTCAATGAGCTGTGCCTCCCACCTCCGACAGCAGGGCGACCGCGGCGCTAGGCTGGAGGCTGCGCAAATCCTCACGCCTGCGAGCGACAGCAGAGTAGGGAGGCATTTGCATGTTGACTTTGTGTCCAGGACCTCGACTGAGGGTTCCCGTTCACAGCGAGCTCCCTTGACAACACGCCAGTGCCAAGCTTCACTGGGGTCCGCCCGGGGCTGTGCGTCAGTGGGCTCCAGGGTTCTCTTCAATCTTTCCCCATCGCCTCTGAGAAATGACAGGACCTTCAGCCCATCCATCGGTAAAGCAAGCTGCCAGGTGGCCAGAAAGTTCCATTAAGAATCCAGCATACCACGTTCGGTGACAGTTTAGCTCATGCATCGTGTTTCTGAATCAGGACAGGGTTACCTGTAGTCTGTGAACAGGGGTGGGGCCTCCGGCCACACGTGGCGGAGCGTGTGGGTCATAAGCTCACTCCAGGGGGAAGGCAGAGCCGTGGGTGGCCGGGACTAACATGTCAAACACCCACCAGTCTCAACGGCCACGTGTGCAGGAGGTCCCGGTGACCTAGATGTCCATCAAGTGTTCGGCTCCTTGAAGTTGCTGGGTCTGGCATTAAGAGCCCAAATCTCCCTTCCAATGAGAAGCTGAATTTATATTCTGATTACGAACAGAATAAACTCTTGACAAAACATCTGAAGAGGCAGGAAAGAGAGCTCTGGCTAGCGAAATGCAGAAAGTGGCTTGTTTTAAATGCCTTCATTTTCTATGTTAAACATAAGTCCCCAAGGACAGAACGGGAGGGGGTCTGAGGGACAACAGGGCTCCTATCTGAAGAGACTGAAGGGCTGCTTTTGGAGTAAAAGGAAAAAACATAATGAAAAGAGCCTCCAAGTCTCTGCCACAGGAGTTAGTGATCTAAACAGAATGTTTCAGGACCGAGTATGAAGCGTACGTCTGGCAGGCCCCAGAGCGTGGCCTCAAGGGTGCTCCGACGGAGCCCAGACTCGATGCTCCCCCCTCGGCACCCAGCTCAGTGCCCGCCGGCCTCGTCCCAGGAGCAACGGCCACTCTCGGAGCAGAAGGCAATCCGTCTGCAAGTGGCGTTTCCAGTGGCTTCAGGTGGATGAGCGCTGCAATGGGTCAGCTGCCGGGCTGTCTGACATCACAAAGGAAATTCTGAAAGGTTATAATAAACATGTGCCTGGGAGGGAAAGGAGGCTCGGGTCTCAGGGTTTTCTCCACGCTGTGAGTACGACGATTCCCCATAAAGAGAGACGTTTTAAATCATGGTGATAACGAACACGCAGGCCCGGTGAGGACGGTGGGGACTCGGCCTCATGTCTTCTTCCAGGCGAATGCCTCGTCGGCAAGGAGCTGCGCCAGCCTGGCGTTGAAAGGCCCGTAGAAGTCCTGCAGGATCCTCTGGGTGACCGGCCACATGGGCCCCAGGTTCCGGTCCTCGGGACGCCGAGCATTGGACGCGGGGCTCTTTGTCATCAAGGCCTCTTGTTTCTCACTTAAGGGCCCTGGAATACAAAGAAAAGAATCCCGTGAGGCCCGAGGCGTGGCAGCGGGCAAGAGGAACTTTGCAGAAATCCCAGCCATGCCTTCGTGCGTGTTGAGACAGGAGTTCCCTTCCCTCAAGAACGTGTTTGGAGATCAAAATTCTTTAGCTGGGTCCATTTCAGAGTTGCTGAGGGTGGAAGGTAGAAACAGCATTACAAAAACAGCAGACGCTACGGCCCAGTGTCGGACACTCACCCTTGGAGGCGCACCTGGGTCTTCAGGCTGCCACCTCACGTCCTGGTCTCATTCCCAACTGCCCGTAAAGGGCTGGCTCCCCTGTCTGTCAGCCTGTCCTTGGACAACTGTGTGACCTGCCAGGCACAGTCCCTGCACTTAGATTTTCCTACTTACCAACCCACTGGAATTCTGCCACCATCATTTCTACTTCAGGCCCCGTGGCTGGGCCATAATTCACCTTGTGGCTTGCTGTGAAGCGGCAACAGAGAGGGGGCAGGACAGGAGCTGCCTGTGCCGAGACCCCACTGGCTGAGCCTCTACCTACAGCAAGGACGTCAATGTGGAGAGGCCTGGAAACAAGCCAGCAAGTGCTGCCACCTGAGGCTGCCACCTCCATCCCCAGCCCTGCGGACCATCCACCTATCACTGGCTTAACTTGTCAGATCAACGCCCAGACCTCTCTGCCCCAGGCTCTTGGGATCTGGCCAAAGTCCTGGGCCTCTACACAGACACCCCATCTCCCACATCCTTGGATTATGTGAAACAGAAGGAACTGAGCTGGCCTTACTGTCCATCTTAGGGACTAAAAACAAGCCCATTAATGCTAGAGTCTACGGGTGGACAAATCAGATAAACCTGGTTCTCGGCCTTAGAAGGAAAAAATAATCACACTCCATCACATTACCAGCTCTCCAAGAAAAGGAGCAAGAAACTCAAATGACAAAAGGGTCCCAAGTCCCAAATTGATCTCTGCTCCCCAGAAGCCCGGGAGCCAACACCCAGCCACGTGACTCTGATTCCAGGGGTCTCCAACAACACCCAAGACAATGTGATGACCTGTCCACTCCCGCCTCCAAGTCCTGTGATCTGTGCAGGACTGTTCCACCCACTGACATCCTATCCATGCCTGAGGCTCAACTCACAGACTGTGTCCTCCCATGATCCCTTCAGCAGCTGGGATCCCAAGTCACCTGGATGTAACGACCTTCCCCCACATCATCCTGTCAGTTACTCAGTTATCTGAGCTGCAGATTCCTCCTCTCCCTCTAGGGGACCCTAGGTTCCCACATGAGAGGCTATCTCTTCCTCCCCTGGGATTCATCACCACACTGTGCACAAGGCCCCATGTGGAGTTGATGCTTGACAAACAGGTGCTAAATGGCCTCCAGCTCTGCCCGCCCCTGCCCCCCACACGGAGTCTGCATGTGACTCAGCGAGTCCCTCAAAGAGCCAGTGTCCATGGAGCTCCAGCCCAGCTCCGTGGGTCTTCAGCGTGACATTCGTACCGAGGTTGAGAAACTGGAAGACCCTGTGCATGGTGTACTTGACATTGGATGCGTGGTCTTCCAGGCGAAGAACAAGGAACTGTTTTTTATTAAAAACAGTGAACCAGTCCAGCAGGTACACAGCATACAGCCCGACTTGCAGCCTGACCTAGGGGCAAAGAAGGAGGAGGCATTATTTCAGGAGCAATTCCCCCAACACCACACAGCACTTTCCGAAAGTACGAGAGTATTATGGTGTGCCATTATCAACTAGCACCAAAGAGTTACCCTAGCAAACGACTGTCTTCAGAAGTCGGGTTTTAAATGCCATGCATTCTTGCTTCTTGCTACACACACAAAGGATTCCCACACCTAGGGTGGCATTTAAGCCTCCTGACAGCCCTGTAGGTAGTTAGTTCCACGACACATTTCACAGTGAGGACTCATATGAAGGGAGAGGTGGAGGTTACAGCCACCAATGGTGGGCATGTTCTTTGCCACGTATCCTGGCTGTCTCTGCTGCCACGCCCAGCACACAGCAGCTGTGAAAAACACCTGCAGATGCCTTGGAGGCCAGCCAGGTGAGTGAACTGCCAATGCCTGGAGCCACGTGGACATCCATGACCGTGAGGGTGTGAGTCCACCCGGATAAGAGCAGAGCTGTATGAAGCTGTTCCCTTCCCCCTATATGTGTCCAGGGTCCTTGTCCTTCTCCTGTGCCTTCCCTCATGCCAAACTGCACGTTTGTGTAGTGAAGAATTAACTTTACCCAAAGAGAGGTCTGGCCCTTGTCCTCGGCTCCCAGAGGTGACCTCTATGCATGTGGGATGCCCTGTGTGAGGAGTGTCTTTGCTGGCCTGGGAGATCTGGCCACTGGACAGCCAACTCGTGGGTTATGACAGGAGCTTTGTGCCATGCTGTATCAGCCTGACCTGCATGAAGGGCTGGAGACTAACCATCAGCCACATGGACACTATGTGACCAAGCCCCAGTAATACGTAAAGGCTCAGGTGCGCTGCCCTGGTTGGCGGCACTCTGTGTACATCGTCAGCCTGGCGGCGAGGAGGCATTCACGCTGCCCACGCCTCATGGGACAACTGGAAGCTGCAAGTCCAGACAGACCCCACGTGCTTCTTCCCTTGGCTGGTTTTAATCTGCATCCTTTCCCTCTAGTAAGGCGTAGCCATGACCGTAACAGCTTTCAGTCCGTGCTGTGATTCCTTCCAGTGAATTACTGAACCCGAGGGTGGTTTGGGGGGCCTCCAACTTACAAACAGTGTCAGAAGTGACAGCAGTCTTGGGGACTGTTCCCTCTAACTTTGCAGTTGGCCCTAAGCTCTCAGCAAAGCTCCAAGGAAGAACTGGCCTTTCCCCTTCACTCTGAGGCTCCTCCCCCAACGCCCCTCCCCTCCGCAGGTCCTCCGGGACCTGGCTCCGTTTCCTGTCTCCCACTCTGCCTCTCTCTGGTCTTTCCAAATGTTCCTCGTTGGCCACCTCTGCCTAGTTTAGTGCCACTCCCTCTGTTTTGGCCCCATCAGCACCTGCCTGGCATTGTCACAGCCTCCTAACTGGTGCTCCCACCTCTAGTCTCTGAATGCCTGGGCCCCACTCCAAGCCTCGCCTGGTCTCCATGGAGGAAAAGTCCTCAGTGCAGCCTGAGCATCCAGCCACCCCCTCCGCGCGCAGAACCTCCCAGCTCCCCAGGTTCCATCCCCCGTCACAGGTCCTTAGGCAGACACTGTGGCATCGCACTTCCTTTCTTTCCCAGCTTGACCTGAGCTCTTCAAGGGTGGAAACCACAGCTCTCCCATTGTCTCCTGCACAAGGGCGTGTGCCCCGGGGCTTACACGCTCGCTGGTGGAATTGCTGAACTCCGTGGCAACCATCAGACGATAAAACTTCACAAAATACACGCAGACACTGACGAGTTTCATCACTCCCTATTCCTTTTCCATCTCACTATATTTCTAATCGTGTGGGAGGACATGGAGGAAGAAAAACAATTAGAGGGATAAGCTGTCTCCAAATCCATTAGCTGCCTCCAGCCCCCGGGTTGTGTTACCTTATACGCCAGCTCGTAAAAGAGACCTCAAGCTGGGCCAGAGCTGAAGAGAAAATGAGTGCGTGCCAGCCTCAGCAATAACTATGGTATCGCCTCCAACAGATGAACCGTTCTGAGGACGTCTTCTTGTTATGTCATCGGCCTCACAGAGCTTTGCAGCTCTGTCTCTGGCTGTCAGGCGTGCAGGCCGGCCCCTCCCAGAGAAGACCAGCCAGGGGGCTTGAGCTCTTCCAGAGAACCTGCCTTGACTACTCAAAACCTTTCCAGAAGGAAAGGCGCTGGGCGTTTGTGGCAGGATGGGGGCGCTGAAGGTCGCTGCCGCCCGTCATGACCTGGCCGTGGGTGACAGCTTATTTCCTCTGAGAGCGTGCTGGTGCCCATCATGGAAAGAGCCCCCTCCCTCCACTGCCCCCAGGGGGACAAAGACCTGCTGGCCGAGGCCTCCTGCAGCAGCGGTGTCCTTCACGGGCAGGCTGCCCAGGACCAGCTGGTAGCACCCACCAGAGCCTGGACCAAAAGCCAGGTCCCCACACTCAGGGCTTACCTGCCCACGACGCCCCACACAGCCTCTCCACCAGTTTCACAAATTCCTCATTCATTCGTTCATTCATTCAGTAAATAATCTAGTGCACGCTGCATGGCCGGTACCCTGCTCGACAATGGA